GCCCCCCCCCCCCCCCTCCTGGCTGCAGGCTGCCCCAGGTTTGTTTTCTTTGGCTCCCCCTTTAATGAGTTCCACAGGACAATGCTAAGTCTAGTTATGCAGCCTTAATTGGTTTAGTTACCACAAGATAATTCCTTTTTTCTTCTCTTGGAGGCCTTTTTGTTTAGAGCCGTTTTAGCTGGAAGATGCTAATTATCAATGAGGAGAAAGTGACACCTGAGGAGTTCATCTTCCATCTTGGTCCTCGCTCTCTCCTTTGAACTCCCTCTCCGGCCTCTTTCCCACTTCATCACTCGTCCCCCAGCATCATAAAAGCCAGCTCTGCCCAGGCGGGCGCAGAACCTTCTTTCTCACTTGCCAGGGAGCCCTTCTCTCTGCAGCTGCCTCGCAGGCATGGACAACCTGCATGAGACCTTCCTGGGCCTGGAGGATGGCTTGGGCCCCTCCGGCAGCCCCGGCCTGCTGTCCGCCTGGGACTGGAAAAGCAGGGCAGGGCCCTTCGAGCTGAGCCAGGCCTCGCCCACTCAGAGCCTCTCCCCGGCCCCCTCGCTGGAGTCTTACACCTCTTCTCCCTGTCCGGCTGCGGCTGGGCTGCCCTGTGGGCATGGGGGTGCCAGCAACGAGAGCAGTGATGGCTGCAGCGGCCGTGACCCTGGTGGCCTGGTAGAGGTGGACTACAACATGTTAGCTTTCCAGCCTGCCTACCTGCAGGGCACGGGGGGCCCCAAGGCCCAGAAGGGCACCAAAGTCAGGATGTCTGTGCAGCGGAGACGGAAGGCCAGCGAGAGGGAGAAGCTCCGGATGAGGACCTTGGCCGACGCCCTGCACACCCTCCGGAACTACCTGCCACCCGTCTACAGCCAGAGGGGCCAGCCGCTCACCAAGATCCAGACGCTGAAGTACACCATCAAGTACATCGGGGAACTCACAGACCTGCTCAACAGCGGGAGGGAGCCTCGGCCCCAGAGCGCCTGAGCCCCCCGCGGGCCCCCTGGACCAGCAGCACACGGTCACGTTTGCATGGTCAGCCTGTGAGCTTGTTGACAGGAGAGTTTTAAGGGAATTCCCACTGGACTTGGTGGAACTGCCGGAGAAGCAGGTACTTTGCTTCCAGCTGCCCCACGATTTCTCAGGAGTCTCACCCTTTGCAAAGACACGGATTCATTTGCCTTTCTCTGTCTGTTCAAGTTACTTTCAAGGTTCAATGATTTTAAATGCAGTTTTTTAAAGTAATGTGAAATTATTACAGTTCATCTTCTCTTGTCATGTTGGCGTTGGGAGCTTTCTTTCCATGGCCAATGAAACCTGTATTTTGTACAGGACCCAGTGTGACACCTGGATTCTTATTTAGAAAGTTCTGTGTCAAGTAAAGGGCACAGCGTGCCTGTGTGAGTGTGTGTGTGTGTGTGTGTGTGTGTGTGTGTGTGTGTGTGTGTGTGACGGAAACCCTGCCTTTCCCTGCACAGGGACCCAAAATCCCTTAAATGCAGCAGCAGTGAGTGTCATGGTAAACAGACAGTCACAGGCAGACAGGCTGTGTTAAGACAGAGTGACAAGCCCAGAGGCCAGCGTCCTGTCTTAAGGGAAGGAAAAGAAGGCTGCGAGCGAGGCAGTGCAGGGAATGGGACAGGGTCGACAGAGGAGGAGGAGGAGGAGAGGCAGGACTCGGCACTGCGGGCTGGGCCTGGGCTGGGAGGGCAGGAGGGCCCTGTGTCAGGCCTCGAGTGAATATGATCTCGCTGGATCCCTTCACTTACATTTCTCAAGTGAAGAGAATGACTCAAAAAGAAAACCAGACTATTTTAATTCTATAGAAAAGTGCCAGGGGCATGATTAGAACCCCAGTCTACCTCGAATCCCTGCAAAGATATTTATTTCTTCACCCAGAGCATCAACCCCTCTTCCCCACCCCCAAATCACCCCACATGCATCCATACACCCCCTTCACTGTGCCTCATCTGAGGGGTTGACTGTAGCGCCCCCAGCTTGGCTAGTTGGATGGCACATGGCATCAATAAGGGAGCTTTGAATTAAGGAAGTTCTCAGAAACCAGTAGGCTTTAAGGCTGAGTATTCCCCCCTCTGATTAGTAAGCATTCGTATTTGTTTCTCAATGTTTGTGGCTTCTGTATTTTTTTCTATTGGTGATTTTTTTCTTCTTTTTAGTGACAAACTACAAAGGCAGTGAGGTATTCACAATTTAATGTAGAGTCCCTCCACTTTTTCCTCTTCATAAAGCATGCAAATAAATGTAGGCGTATATACATTTTTAAAGACTCCCTTAAATTCTGCAAATTGCTTTTTTTGAAAAAACAAAACAAAACAAAACTTGGGACATATAGTAAAAGCCCTTCCAAGTTAACACAAATAAATCTGTAATGTAAGTGCCATTATTACCTTCATCTTACAGATGATGAAACAGAAGCATAGACTTGCCCTATGACCCACATGTGCACAAGTAGAGGATGCAGAAGTTCAACAACGTGCCATAGCATCATTCGTTGAATAATATTTAGGTTGTTTTCAGGTTTTTTTTTTAAATTACAAAAAGTGATTTAACAGACATCACACACAACTAACTAGCTGTATAGACTGATATTTTAATTAGCCCGAACAATTCGCAGAAATGGGATTCCTGGATCAGAGTGTGTTACATTTTAAAGTTGAATAAATACTGTTAGATGACTTTTATGAAGTTTGTAATTACTCACAATTGTCCTATCATTATGGGACAGAGTCAGCCCCTAGATCCCAAAAGATATTACCAATCTTTTGAACTGTTTTAATGGATAGAAAAGAGTTATGTCGTCGTGTTCATTTTAATTTTTCCTGTGTACTGTTGGAGATGGTGTGGCTTTTAAAATTTTATGTTACCGTTGTTCATTTTGGTTCTTTTTTATAACTTGCCAGTTTATATTCTTTGTCATTTCTCTATTGGTTATTTATCGTCTTGTTAATAATTTGGGGAGTTCTTAGTACATTATATGTGATACAAATATTTCCTTCCAATCTATCATTTTGTTGCCATCCTTATGATATTTTATATATGACTTTGAGTATGATATCTTTCCCTCTTTTAAGCTTTGCATTTTATATGATCAAATATCTCCTTTTTTATGGCTTATATATTTCTTCACTTTGCTTAATTTTTCCCTGTTCCAAGGTTATCTAAATGTTTAGATTTAAATATACATATGTTTCTGTAATTATCTGTAGCTCTTTAACATACCTGCAATTTATTTTTTTATATTCTTGTGCATAGAAGGAATCTAACATTATTTCTGATTAGTGTTTTTATAACTGAAGAATATTTTGCCATTGGCGGGTGGTGGGTGGTAAGCACAGTTGCTAAAATGTTATCTTTTATGTACAACCTTCATCAACTTCTCTACATTTGTCAGTGGTGTTTTGGAGAAGAAACTGGAAAATGTTGGACAATATCAAGGCTTTCTGTAAGGGGCCTCTACCCTGTGTATGTATAGTTGTTCATGTGAGTGTATGTGTGAACATGTATGTATTTGTGTGTGTGTGTGTTACTCCATTTATTGGGGGAGGAGGGTCAGAAAGGAGAATGTAATATGGGGAACAGTGTGTCCAGCCTTTGATCAGCTTTTAGATCCATTGTCATTTTCCTTGCCGTGCGCTTGACTTTTGATTTTTTTTTCAAGTTCAAGCATTAAGAATGGGTTATAAATAGCTTGGGCAATTTTGGTTGCCCTGAGGACTGAATTCTGTGAATGGGTTAGGAGATCCTGTCCTCACTTCCAGACAATCCTGAAAGCCACAGACTCCCTACTAGCTGGGCTCCTAAGGGGCCAGCCCAGGGGAGCCTCTGGAAAGGCAGGAGAAGGTGACAGCTTCCTGGCAGGAGGCCTCTGGTGCAGGCCTGGCTGCACTGGCACAGCTGCAGGCCTCCCCACATTGCATGGGCACCCCCAGCCCGTGGTGGGGAGGAGGCAGCTGCCCATCAGCATCTGACTGCAGCAGTCCAGGATGATGTAGCCACCTCCCTGGGGTTGGGGGAGGAGCCCTGGAGCAGGTTCCTCTAGGGGGCATTGAAAAGCAGGAGCCGGCCTGGGCCTGCTCAAGGATGGGAATAAGTCACTTTTGGTGCTTAGATAGGAACTGCAATCTGTGTGTGTCCAATGTGCTGTGGTGGGGATTTTCATATTTTTAATTTCACATTATCCTCCTAACAGCCCCAGGCCGTGGGCATTATCAGTCCATTCTGAGGATGAGGAAACGAAGGTCTAGGACAGCGAAGCAGTGCAAAGCCACACGATCCGGAGTGGCATGTGGTAGAAGAGTTGGCTAGTGAGTTAGGCTCTTACTCCAAAGCTCAGGCCCCTCCCATGGACTCCTGCTGCCTCTTCCAGGGGCTCCCAGGGCAGCCAGCCCCTGCGCCGGGCAGCAGGAGAGCAAATCCTCACTCCCCGTCTCCACCTTTTCTCTGCGTCTCCATCTCTGGGGCCCTCACTCCTTTCACCACCTGAGGCAGTTCAGAAGGGGCTCTTCATCTTGTCACTTAAATTATTTCCCTTTGAACTTCCACCTCCACCCCAAACATTTCCAGAAATTCCCTTCACTTCCTTCCTGGCGCCCAGAGTCCTTCCTAATCCACAGAGGAAACCTGACGTCTGTTCATTTGTGTTCAATAAAGTTTCCCCAATTCACACCGGGCTGAGGTTTCTTTGTTCTTGCAGCTCCTGCCACATTAGCTGAATGGGAGAGAGGCCCTAGCAGGGGTGGGGAGATGCTTTGCAAACTAACAAGCCAACAGGAGGCCCTGAGCCTAACTGTCCCCTATACCTGGGCTCCTGAGCATTAAAGAGAAAAAACCAACATGATACAGAAAAATGTTAGTTACATGCAAACAAGTGGTTAGAATAAGATGGACCTTGGAGACATTGTAGAAAATAGATCTACCTTTCATCTAGCGCCAATATTCCACCTTTATGTGGAAATTACTGAAAAATCGGTACAGCGGTCTGGTAGGGTTAAGATCATTTTTTAAAAACAACAGCAGAAGAAGATGCCTATGTAGGTGAGTGTTGGTGTTGCTGCTGCCTGTGAGGTCCTATTACAATGGTTCTGTAGGTTCTGTGCCTGTACCGATTCCCATACGTGCTCCAGGCTGCGGGGAGGAGCTGGACCTGGCCCTGACCCCTGTGGGCTCGGCCCACGCAGGCTCCACTATGACCAGCTGGCACAGGCCTCTTGTCCTCCTGTGTTGCCAGTGAAGTATTGAAGCTAATGCAGTGCCTCTAGAACACTCAGATCTTGCTCCTTGGGTTCCAGAAAGGCCCTTGAACTCTGAGGAGGAAGAAAGCAAAAAGCATTTGAGGAGGCTGGGGAAAGCACAATTCTTTGTCCGTCTCCTGGGTTGGAAAACGATTGACTTCCCTCCCTCAGCAGTCTCCCCTGAAGTTATGAATGAACTCTGTGACTTCTGTTTGTCTTCATTAAGTTAAGTGGGGAGGCAGGCAGGGCTGGAGGTTGGGGCCCTGTAGGAGGGAGGAGAGGTTTGGGAAGCAAGTGGAGCCCTGGGCTATTCCCAGCCCAGTCAGCAACAGATGTGGATGGATTCATCATCCCAAGTGTCAGGCTCAGGGCCAAGGGCTCGCTACACTTTTTCTCCTTTAATCTTGACTGCTAACAATAGGAGACAGCTATTATCAGCCCATTTCATAAATAAACAGGCCAAGGTCACCTAACTGGGGTAGGGCCCAGGAGCCTAACCAGGTCTGCTTGACTCACCTTCCCACAAGACAGGTCTCAGCCAGAAGGCAGCAGTGACAAGCCAAGGACAGAGAGGTCTCTGCATTCCAGCCTCGCCCACTAGTGTGTGCTCTTGCTCTGCCTTTGCAATGTCCAAACAACGTATTAGCATTGCTGCAGATCAGGACAGGTGTTAACTGGCGACACCCTTCCTACTCCTGTCTCCTGAGGATTGGAACATGACCCCTTTCTCTCTCTCTTTCTCAAAATAGAATTTTTTTAAAAACAGTGTGGAAGTTTTATAACAACTTTGGGGCATTTGCATGGCTCCAAAGACGTACAAATCTGACTCCAGAAGCACCTGTTCTCAGGGACTACAGCTACATACCTTTTTCTTCAGTTTCTTTTAGGTACAAAGTGACAAAATTAAAAT